TTAGCCCTTCTTGTTCCTGTTTCCATTGCTCCTGGTATGCTGTTTCAGCACTCATTGGAAGATGTTATTACGATGCGTGTCGTCCAGCGATAAGTACCATGGTTCTGGGCCATGTTGGCTTTTCCAAGATTGGGTGACATCCAACTTCAAGTTGTGGTTCCCGGTGATCAACTGCCGTGGTTCCATGGTTAAGCGGAGTCAAATCTCACGTTGTGGTTTTTGGTGAGCAACTGCAGTGGGTGGCATCCTGTTTCCATGATTGAGCGGCAATAACTCTCAAGTTGTGGTTTCAGTGAGCAACTGCTGAAGGTGACATCCTTAACAGGTCTAGCGGTGATGTTTTTCCAAGGTGTGCCTTCCCGTCAGCAACTGCAATCAGCGGCATTTACCAATTCAAGTATACTCAAGGTTTAATTTAATTTTTCAGGTGCCTTCTTGGCCAAAAGCATAGCCCTTTTCAGTCAAGTGAAATTCAAATTAATCGCATAGCTCTGTGTTTTTTGCGAGTAATTGAATGCCAGTATTCATAGAACAGGTAATATATTTACTGTATCATTAATAGAGTAATATTCTTTAAAGGAAAAACCTTTGGAATTAATGAATAGTTAACTGAGTGTGCTTTTTTGACAATGATTATGTTACAACCCTTTAAGTTTCTGGTATTGATCAAATTTATTTATTGTATTTTTATTTCTATATATATTGTTAATAAATTGGTTAAGTTTAAAACTTTTGTCATCTATGTCAGCATAGTACATAATCCTAGGGAGCTTCTATTACTATTTCTGCTAAATGTTTTCTATAACTTTAAACTTTGCTTTTGCATTACTGCTGCACAATGCGCTAGCCACCAGGCCTCATTTATGCACCATGGTGAATCCAAATCAACTGTGTTGTCAAACTAAACCCTCCAATGAAAATGATCCTACACAAAAAAAGATTCGGTTGCAACATTAATTCAAAACATTTTATAAGAAACGTTTAGCGCAATTTTTTGCATTGTCATACAACATAAAACAGAAAATTACCACAGATCACAGGAGTTACCAAATAAAAGCGAAACTGGTTTTTCCTTACAAAACACAGACTAACAACAAATATCTCCCATTCAGTTTCTTTAGTTAGATGCTGATTAAATGATAGAATCTACAAAATTTTGTGAAAAGGGAGAAAACTTACCTGAAACACTGTGATAACGCCCCATGAGGCCAAATCTAAATGAAAAACTGTCATTTTAGCTTAATGCATGATGTCATATTTTGGTAATATTCCACTTTCAGATTATGCAGAATATATGTTAATCATATGTATTAAATATTAGACTCCGTTACTAGATATAAACTTTATACCCTTTTACCCTCTGTTGCTCTTCCACTACATGGAACACCCAACTTGAATTGCTTCTGAAACCGTTAAATTCAACTGTAAGTTAATTAAACAACTGTAAGTAAAAGTGCCTTTAAAATATACTTCAAACTTCTCTTTTTAAATAGTAGATGGCAGCATTTCACAAGGAGACCCAGAAGTTCCACTTATTTTCTATATTTTTTTTTTGTGAGACAAAAAAATTTGTTTGAAAAAAAATTCTGTATAATTTTCATGGTTGTACTCTATATTATTCATTATATATATATATATTTTTACATTTTTCATACAAAAAGCATGCACAGAATCATTGAATAAAAACGGTTTCGGCGTTCAGTTAGCAGGAACACTGCGCCTTTAGCGATCTCATGCTATTACACATCAGAACATCTGTCTTAGGAGAAAACATCTGTTGTATATGTTTTCTATTTCGTTGTTTTGGGAGAATGAAGTCAAACAAAGCAGTCTTGAGGGGTGAGATGTGGTTTGTGCTATGAAAGCCCAAATATGGGCATCCTGAAATTGTTGCGAGTAATTTTCAGGCGGGAATTTTATCAGTAGCTCGAGCCATTTTAGGAGCTGCGCGAATTTTTTGCTATCGCTTTTTAGTCTCATTCCCATTTATTTTCAATAATTGTGTAGATATTTTTTGTGTATGTATATCTTAATTTTCTTTAATGTTAATATTAATTGTAATTAGTTTTTTATTACTAATTTTCCATAAATGGCATGGAGAGGTCTCGCTCTTTCCGAAGCGCTAAAAGTGCTTCATGAATTACCCTCGATTCTGAATCAGATCATGAAGATAGCAGCGATACTGAGATATACGCTCCTGAACCACTTGTGTAATCTGATGATGATATGTCGGATGAAACTCATCTATTTGATGAGAAAGTTGATGACCCATATCACCAAGGCCTCTCTACACAGCCTCAAGTTTTTACTTGGAATTCTAAACATATTGTTGCATGGCACAGAAGCCGCACAAAACGAGTTTTGTGTTCAAAACCTGCAAAGTTCGTTTGTGATATTTGAAAACGTGTGACATGCTTTGAACAATTTCACGAAACTAAGAAATCGAAATATTTGTAAATATTTTTATATATAGGACTTGTGTATATACATATATTTATCTCATTTATCCACATATATTCAAGAATGTTGTGTATATCCAGAAAACCGTGTATACAACCATAATACAATGTTTTTTCATTACTATACCCACCGAATTAAAATGGTACGTGCAATTTTTACAAAATTTTACCTGTATACTACTTTAGGCCTAGATAGATGGCATACAACTTTTTTTGTTAAAATTCAGAATTTAAAGTGTAGTGGACCACAAAGGGTTAATTCCATCATTTCAATATTTTATAACTATGCAAAGATCTTTGCTTCTTAACATTTACAATGCTACACCAAATTAAAATATTTGTTTTAAAATGTGTGAACATGTTTAAATTCTCACTGGGGATGGCAGAACTGCTAGTGCTTAAGTAGTAGTAGATAACTGAGTGATAAAGCTAGCCATAAAAATTATATCTAATTAAAACACTGGTTATACACAAAAACATATAAACATTTATTAAAAATGTCCAACAAAAACAGACAAATCAAGTACATAAAATTATTTCCATACACACATCAAATGCCTTAAGAGCTAGATAGATGTATAGAATTCGTTACATAAAAGTAATGACATGACACATGTAAATACATTAATATTAAACAGACATCCAAGATACTACACTGGTGGGAAAATTTAAAGAAACAACTATAAAGCTACATATTAATTCTAATAAGCAAAGTCCAATAAAAGGTAGTTGGCAGCTCAAAGTCAATGTTATGCACTCCAACAAGATTCCACATTTGCTATACAGAAATATGCTGATATTTGCCTGTCTTTGGGCATGATATAAAGGAGCTGAAGCAGTACTTCAGATTCTAATTTCAAGGATTGTACAAGCAGACAGTTAAAAATTTGTATACGGACGACGGAACATGTTGATGGGAAAGCATCCGACAGATAGCGAAAAATGGCATGGGAGAAAGAAGCAAAACAGACATTAACACAGGTTTGTGAAAGTCACTGCTGATGTACGCAGACAATCAGCTCACAGCTAATTCTTAGAACTGTTATTTGGCATTGATTCCTGAAAGGAATAAGTAACTGATACATGGAGTGGAATTTCCCTTACTGAGATCTCACTTTTTAATTTGAGAGTGATTATAGATGTCTTACAAACTGGAGGCAGAAAAGCAGATGCAATAAGCCAAAAAACATCTGTGAAAAGCATCAGCACAAAGGTGGTAAAATCATGGTACATGCAGGTACCATTTTGAATGGTTGCATTATCTTGCACATGTCAAGTTGTGCAGGAGTTCAATTGGCAGTAACTTCTTAATGGAGAATAATGTTCATCCCCAGCACTAGCGAGAAATCTCAAGGGAAGGCAGTGGCCCATACACTTGCCAAATTTAATTCAGTACATGGGAAGACACACTACAATGCTGACACTCAGTTTCCATCTAGCACTCTCCAGAAGCTTCAATGTGTTAAGGCAGGAACTCCTGCAGAATCTAATGCACAGCATGGAAAAGCACTGTAAGCTTGCATTCTGATCAAGGGTGCCCACCCAACTTAATTTTTTCTGTGTGTGTCTAAAATGTTGACACATCAGCTTAATTCAACTAGTCTTTAGATCACATTCCCTACATTCTTTTTTATCTAAATTTTATTTTTTTGCTCAAATAGACAATTCTGCATTTTGGACAGGGATATCATGCATGACAAAATAAAGATTTTGAGAAAGTTTCATGTTGTTAGCTGAAACATCATTCAAGCTACCTGGATTTTTACAGTTGTTATTTTAACTCTTCCCACCAGAGAATAAATACATGGGAATTCAGGACATTCACATTTTAAAACACTGCCAGGGAAATAACCCCTAACCATGAAAATCATGATTGCATAAAATTATATTTTCAGTTAATTTCAACATAGTTAGATTTTAATCAGATTAAATTTTTTTAAATAATTTTTTTTCTATTCAAACACTAATTAGGGAGATTCTTCATACATATCAAGAACGAAAGGATTAAATTCAATGCACTTTGTTTGCAAGTGTAAGGTATACAGTTAAACATCTATCATCAGTATAAAGAAAATTCAATTTGCAACTACATTGCAGATAAACTGAACATAAATAAGTTCTTACGAAAATAAGAGGTATAACACTAGCTCTACTGCCAAACATGACAAAAATTAAATTATTATTTAGTTAATACATCTATATATACTCATATACATGAGTTGTTTTGAAAAAAATCCTACAGTTTTATCAAGAAATACAAAAGTTAAAATATATTCAACTAATCTTTAAAAGCACTAAAGATTATATAACAAGATTGGAAACAACAGCAATTCATGTTGCAGAGATATTTTTCAGGTTTCCTTTTTCATTTAATTGTATTAATTCCTTTTTTCATTTAACTGATTGACTATTAAAGAAACTTATTAATTTGTTTTAAAAACTGAAGAAATTGAAGACAGATCAGGGGAAAAATTAATAAATTTTCATTAAAAGACCTTTATCATTTATAGAAATAAAAACACATTTAAACAATATACAGTATTTTATAATTTCATCATTCAGCTCCAACAACTAAACTTAAAAAAAATAAAACAAATATAAAATTCTTACATACATAACATACAAAAATTAACACAATACTTAAAAAATCAAATGTATTTGAAATACAATATCAATCAAGTATTTATTCACAGATATATATTTCACACAATATTACATTTAAAAGTTTTATTTGACTTGTCACACTAGTTGACTTGACAGACAAATGCTTTTACAAACTTTAATCTTTTGATGCTTGCACCTCAATTTTAATTTTTCGTTCACCTGATGAATCTTCACTCGTACTAACCACTATTTCAGGACTTTCTTTAACAGGAATCTAGAAAATCTCATCCATGTTTCAAGAAAGTATAGCAATTTAAAAAATAAATAAATGCATGTAATTTACTAATACCTTCAGAATGTTTCAATACCATAAAACAATACAAAAATAAAATTCTTTATAAATAATATAAAACAAGTTTTTACAATAAAAAGCACATCATGATAATGCAAAAACACTGGATTAAAAAAGATAATGGGTTGTGAACTCTAACATTCTATAATTGTATTAATTAATGTTAAATTTCTTAAAAACATGTACAACAGTGTATGTTCTTTTTTCTATAACTTTACTATGCTTGGACAACTTTTTGTAAAAGCAGTTGGATAAGGCAGCTACTATAAAGGATGATGCACTAATATGAATTATGAAAGGGAAGTTATAACTTGCAGCATCATAAATAACTTTCTTCAATTTTGTAAAAGTATTTTTATACTCTTTTGGTCATAGTTAGGTTATCATTGATTTTGCTACATCACTGAAAGAAGAAGAATATGAATAATTGTATGAAAATAATCCTAAAATGTTTTATATTCAGAAGTTATAACCTGAACTAAGTTTAAACAAACTGAACTTTTTATGGATCTGAAGCATGCTTACTGGAGCCTACTAAATATAAAAATTTAATCGCTTATTACGTAAAATAATATACAGTACACAGCCCAAATTCTCGACATACAGTATCCAGACCTCCTGCTAAAAAAATACATAGAATAATATAAAAAATTCACCCTTTTGCAAAGTCTAGAAATGAAAAATACAATAAATGCTCAACAAAAAGAATCAGATATACCATGACTGTGATTTTCCTCCTGATTAACTCGGATAAGGATAAGGCTATTTCTGTTGTCTATGGAGCTGCAATGTAGCCAATTTTTATCTACATTTTTATCACAGAGATTTAGATCACTTGAAAAACTATCCTTTAATAAGAAATATTTATTCCGATTCCTGTATTGAACGGGAACATTTAAACATATGCATAGTAAGATGAAAGAAAATCTATCAATTCTTTAGCTATGGTTTATTTCGCTAAAATGAATAAATAATTTTCCTATCTGATAATACTGCTAACTTACATTTATTGATGGTTCGTTTAATTTTGGTCCAGAAGCCCATTAATGCATACTTGTACCATATGGGGCTTTATAAAAACATGTAACAACATTAACATACATTACGGATATGTAAGACACCAAGTATGCCATTTAAATATGATCTACATGTTAAATTTTAATAATTAACTGGCAACAAATTGATAAAACATTTTTATTTCTATTAGCCAGCTTAGTTAATTTTCCCAATAATGTAACATTATATTTTAATAGAATCATTTTAGCATTTGAGTTATGGGCTTTAAAATAACTGTTACACTATAACTCATTATGTTGCAGATAGCACATTTAGAGAAAACTTTAGCATACACTAACAGATCCCTCTTTAGAGTATAAGAAACATAGGCCTAAACACTTAATTTTGCTTATTTGCTCAACACTTTTCACTGCTATGAGAATTTCAGTTTTGCCATGCAAACATTTTGGTCTAGCTGAAATTCAAATAAAAGAATTTTAAATTTCTGATTTATTACTTCATTTTTCCCCTCTTCATGCTTGGTATCGGGACAACGTTTGCTTTTTGTAAAATATTGGCTATTAATTATTTCTCATAACTCAAATTCTTTATAGATAAATTTCAAGTTCTTTAATATGAGGATGAATTAGTTGTACTCTAACAATTAAATTCTAAAATCAAATTATTCATAATAATTTTCACCATAACTGAGCATAATAAGTTACCATATATGCTTGATTTCATGCTAAATAATTTTAAATGCTTTATTTATTAGAATAAATTTAGGTTAAATGGCAAGGCATAACATAAAATCAAGGGCTCTTTTCCAAAGGAGGAAAATAGAAGACTTTTTAAGGGAAGAAAATTGGTTTCCTTTACCATGAAAAAGATGAAATTCCATGTTGTCAGCCCAAACATGGGGATATGGACTAAGGTCAAATTACCAGTATTCAGTGATCTTAACACATGGTCACTAATGACAGTTTTTTATTTGTATATGAAAAGTATTGTACAGGTTTCTTAATACTATAATATCCATAGGTTTACTTACGGACATCAGATTTAACAGCTTGTTAACATGGGCATTAGTTAACAAATATGAATCTTTCCTTAAAAGAGACCAACTTATCCGGCATAATTTCCATGAGAGAAGGGAAAAACAGCAATTTAATTATATAATATGACACAATCTTTAGGATGTATGATTTGGAACAATGGATAATCTTTTTCATCGAATTCAGTAGTTACAGTTAGAATCAACGCTAAAATTACTCAAAAACATGATAACAGAAAATATATTGTAAAAACTACTAACTGGAGTAATCTCCTTAATTAAAGGACCCAGGAAAAAAGAGATATGCTGATTTATAAACTTACAGACTAGGTGTTCAAACAGCAGCTTAATCAAGAATCTATTTTTTATTCAAAGTCTCTTAATATTTGAAATTTTTTACCTGTGTAACTAAAGATCAAAATATTCTTTACTATACTTAATTATTTCTTATTACCATGTTTAAACTCTAATAAACTTTTATTGAAACCACTTTGCTGACTCAGCAAATGCAAAACATATTTTAATCAAGAGATAGCTTGTTACTTATTTATTATTTAAAATCTTTTCTCTGTGTTTAATAACCACATTACAATGATTATTCATATACTGGAATCTGGAAATTAAATTGAAATGCAGTAGAATTCCCATAATTTGTGATCACTTAATCTACAAATGCTGCAAACCACACTCTTTTTTTAATGTACACAAACAAAATGTTGATTTCTGGGAAACTGAGCATGTAAAATTTTTCTTTCTTTGAGGTAATTTTTTCTTATAAAAATAGATTTACAAACGTCTTAATAAAAATACACTACATTTATTACTAAAGTTATGTGGCCTATTCTGTGCATGTGACAGCACCTCAAAAATCTAAGGAATTTTTTAGATAGACCTTCAATTAAGTGTTTTTTAAAATTAGTTTTGAGTACTATAGAATTCATACATATAAAGAACCTAGCTATTTTCAGCTTTTCAAATCTTAAGTTCCAACCTAAATGTACCTTCTAATTGGTCTGTTTATGTTTTGCACAACAAGCAAGCTCATTTATATCAATACAATTGGGAAAGATTCTTAAAAATAGCCCATGATAAGATTACTCTGGTGTTAAAAATCAAAAACATAGTAACTAGAGCATTAAAGAAAAGCAAACTACTAAATTTAAAATCCCAATTCTAGTACTATTTATGAATGCAAGGAACATAATGGTAGAATTCAATACAGGAAATACTATGGGAGTTTTGTACACAGTCAGCAGGTTTTTCTCTTGCTTAAAAAGTACATTGACAGAAATTTTGCTGGCAGATCTACAATATTTTTTTAAAGCAAAATGCTTCGATGCATTTTCAGAAAAGTCTCTATTTCCTCAAAAACATTTACTATCATTTCTATCCCTTCATCTTCCCACTATGATTTTCTTAGTGCTGGCTTTTTCTTTGCACATAAATGTGCTAAAATATACTACTTTTATCTTCAATACATCCTGATTAAATAGTTCTTATAATATGAATAATTACTTATGTACAAACAATCTAAATTGAATTAAAATGATATAGAGAAGAAAATTTAACAAAACCTTCAACCATATTTCAAGGGGAAAAAAGGATTTTTTTTGGTTAGTATGTATATGAAGCTAAATAAAAGCATGAATAATGTGATTATATAATTATTGCATGCAATCTTAGCTTGAATGCAATGTTTATTTTCACAGAAACTGTACCTTTCCATTAATCTCTGCAATAAAAAATTTAGATATTTTTACATGTCAAAATCTAGCTTACAAAACTAATATCCAAGAACAGCTTTTATACAATAAAAATCTGATCACATATATACGAGATAATATAGTTAACTGTGAGATCCATGAACTCAAAATTTAAAAAATACTATGAATGCCATACAGACACTCTGTAAAATAAGAGTTGCAGAACTTTGAATACAATATACACATGCTAAAAATATGAGGATTTGACTTAATGGCAACACTAGTGAAAAGAAACTAAACATGGATCTGATGCATGCACAATAAAATTATGTAGTTGAAGTGCACAAAATGAAGCCAATCCAAAAAATTGCCAGCATTCAAGCTTTTGTTTTTTTGCTATATGAATATTCAAGTGCTTAATACTTTTAAGGACAACACCGTAAAATGCTTGCTGATATAAGCAGACAGATTTTTAAGTTACTAAGGCAAATGTTCTTCAAAATCTATTAGACTTTCAAGTTTTAAATAATCTGGTAGTACCATAACAGCACATAGGACATGTAAATTGTGTACTCTTGATCTGTGGCATATGCCCTGTTAAAAAAAATATGGGCCGCTATGATTTGAGATATAAATTGCTGAGGAAAGAAAGTTTTGATAGTTGATTTATGACCGTAAGCTATGAGGAGAGAAAATTATGAACAGAATGAGAAATAGCCAAATTTTACTTTACCTTTTTATCATTGAAAAACAAAAAGTGTACATTTTGTACATGTCATAGTGCAAAACTGCGACATTTTGTATACAAATGAACTCTGATAAGAAGTATGATTCACCTAGCTAACCATACTGCACATATCTGTGAGACATGACATCAATAAGATTATTAAAGGACTGGGATAAACTGTTTTGGTAATAAGCAGCCAGTAATCTTTCTTGCTAGAATGCCCAAAACATGTTCAATTGGGTTCATGTAACATGAACAAGCTATCTAATCCAGTTGATGGATTCCTCATCAAAAACGAGTTTGCCCTCAAAATAAATTTAACCTTGATTATTGTTATGCAAGACTACAAAAGGTCTTTATAATCCCATTCCTATAATAACGAGCTTTCAGTTATCCATTTCTAATGATCAACAGGGTTGCTACAGCCATTAATTAATAGATATCAGCCCAGACCATCACCCTACCACCTCCAAACTGAACACTTTCATCCACAAATACAGGAATATTCTGATTGAAACATTTCTCCAAATGATAAGAAACTTATTTTCAAGCTTGTGCACTAAAATGGAATTAATCTGGGAAAAGAACATGGTTCCACTTATTTAATTTCTACACGTGATGCTCTTGTGACCATTTTCTGCAGGCGACACAACACTCATTATTAAAGAAACACAAACCACAGTGTGTAAGCATAAACCAGTATTAGAGAGTCAGTTTGAATTAAAATACAGGTCCCAACAGCTTTCAGATGCACAATAGAGTGGCCTACATATTGTGGTTACTCCTAGCCATTAGTGTTAAATATCAATCCTCATTTTACATTACTGCATGCCTACAACTTTCTCCTGGCCTGCACCTGATATTTCCAAACCCTGGTCTTCAGGCTGGAAATGACCCTTCATATCTAAAGGCTTCTAAAGCAGGTTCAATCTGGCCAGCTTCTAAATGCAGGATGGCTCTCCAAAGCTACCAATATGGCTAAGCCATGTAGTCCAGACTATTAAAAAATACTTGGTGCATGTCAATTGTTTCTAATCTCTTACATAAAAATGCTGCAGATAACTTTCAATTCTTCAATGAAAACTTTGCACTTTCAACATTTATGTACAAAATTAAATTATTTTTGAATTTGTAAATGTGATAATATACCTTTTTAATGTATTTTCTTTCGTTTTAATATCAGCTAATTGATTATATCATTGTTTCAAACAAAACTCCCAATACTCCCTGGTAGTTTTGAGCAGTGTGTTTTGCTGTGGAAAATCTCTCCTAAGTTCTTCATTGCATTCTTTGTAATGTTTTACTGCAAAATATGCTTCAGACAAGAACATTTACTGCAGTAGAAGTACAATCTGTTTTCCAAAATGAAAATATTAGCACTAAAATTGTTAAAATTTGGAACACAAAACAATTATTTGTTTCAAGATTGCTATTACACATATTGTTGACACGCACAAATCACACTGCATTATTTACCTTGTCAAACTTCTGTTTAAAACACACATTTTTTAATTTATGGACTTTATTACACGAGTCTTTAATTTCGCATTCTGGCAAAATATGATTTAAAAATATTTCTCTAAGGCCCACAGGTCAACCTGCCTACTTTACTTAAAATTTAGTACTTAAGTTTATGAATTTTATGAGAGGATAAGAGGGGGGAATATAATCAGCAAACTACGAGATGGTTATACAAAACAGAAATTTTTCTGACAGTTATTAGATATAGTTTACTTACATTTATATTGGTGACAATATTTGTTTCAGGAACTTTCAGGTTAGCAAGAGAAACTGATGGAGATGCTGGTGTAGCTCGGTCTATAGGCTTTGAGGCAAGTTTATCGGTAGATGGGCCACTTGACTCTTTCTGGGTAATAGCAGCTTTTTCTTGCTACAAAAATTAATAAGACATATTAATTGCAAAGAAATAAATACTTACAAACAAATATTATTTCAGAAATTCCATTTCTAATATTCAAACAGAATTTTCCGAAATACAATTTTTCATTTTGCTATACCAGATCAATTTTATATTGTTTATTACATTAAAAATCACAGAAAACAAACTTAAAAAAGGTGTATAAGATAAATTACTCTACAGTTTTTTAAGTATTGACTACAATAATGCAAGAAATATTAAAAAAATTGCATTAAATTCTGTACGATTATTAAAATGAAAATACTTTCGTAACATTAGATTTTAGAAATATTAGATGCTTACTACTATCATTGACTATAATTATATACGTTTAGTGGCTATAGTGATTAGTTGATACAAATTAAAAACTTTATAATAAAAGTAACTCCTCCAGAAATTCACAATAGAAGATTTATATACAGAACACAGTACGAAATCCTGAATCACTGGAACTTGGGCGATTCTGAAAATTTTAAATCATCAGTTTAAATCTAGTAAGATGGCATATAGACGTAGCTAAATCTTCACAGTGTCATATGCTACATCTTTAGTACCTAAATCTGTACATGTTTTGGTGACATTCTGTAGCTGACTTTTTGCTACAGAACTGGACGTAAATGGTGGTTCTAATCCGGTAGCGTGATAATTCCATTTCAAGACACCTTGTACTTAATGTTACTTTTTTTTTACAAATTTCACAAAACAGTGTTCCAAAGCAAGTCTCTTTCTTTCTAATGCCCAAAATTGTTTGAGAAAATATGATTAAACACACCAACGTGAACTGTTTGCGCAGACAATATTTGCGGTGGTGGGAAACTTTTGTTAAAACAAGATACATATATTTGGCTGGTGGTCCAGATATTAGATCATTCAGGTTATCTAACATCTAGATTTTGACTTTCTATTGTATGTTTCATTTGAAACTTAAGAATCTAATTAAGAAAAACTTTTAAATATAGACCAATAACAGTAACTAAAAATATTTAATATCTGCATCACTTAAATAGTCTTTTATGTGAAAATTGCTTCCGTGAAATAAAATTGATTAAAATTAACCCCCTATAGATGGATCTACCTAAAATGAAAGACTGGTCTCTAGAAATAAACATGAAATAAAAATTTTCAATTCTTCCAGTTAGCACAAAATAATACAAAAGAACTTGCAAACAGCATTAATAAATTTATCTAGCTCAGGATATTTTTTAGCATTACTTTTAACCATAGAAATGCATAAGATTATAAACAAATTCCTCCTAATTTTTCTAGAGAAATTAAATACACAAAATATAAATAAAAAATTTTAAATTAAAATTTCATGATAAACTGCAGTATAGCTTAAAAAGAGATTTCAGAATTGAAAGAAAAAAAAAAAAAAAAAAAAAAAAAAAAAAAAAAAAAATTAAAATGAAACAAGAAAGCATTAAAGAGTTTCGAAATGTGTCCCTTACTCCTTGTACCGCAGATGTTTTCACTTTGTGTACCAAAATGACATTTGGCTTGGCAGCTGTAGAAACTCGCATCGATGATGACGTACTAAGTGTTCCAGCAGGCAGTGTAACACGAAGAGCAGTTGATGTGAAATTAGGACACAGACCTAATGCTGAGACAGCAGACGGTGAAATGGCACGTGAAAGACAAGATCCACTTGGCTGTGAAATGTTCACAATTCGAGCACGCCTTATTACTCCTAGCAAATAAGGGGGAGAATAAAAAAGATCTAGACTGCTCTACAAATATACTTAAATACACTTTTTTAGTTTAAAAATTTTTATTTTTAAATACAAGAATAACATTTTATTAGAAACAGAGCTTAATTGATTATATCAACAGCTGTAAACTGTTTATTTATAAATATAAAAAAAATGGTATACTTACATACAAAATATACGCTCAACTTAAATAAACTGGTTTCCATTGTAATAGTAGACATATGTAATTATTGTTCATTACTGCAAACTGAACAAACCACAGCTGCTGGCAAAACTGTCACAGGTACATACTAGTGATGAGAACACCTTATTCCTTTCAACCATTTAGACATATATCATGAACCATTTCAACATATATCATGAAATAAGCATAAACTCCTCCAACTGCTTTTACTTTCTCTGAAAGCAACATTATTCTTCTGCATTAGGAAAGAAACCAACTGAAACTGCACCAACAGCTGATGTTGATGCAATTTTCAGTTCTTTAAATCATCATAAAACAAAGCAGCAAATACAGAATAAAAACTAGAATTTTAAATTGCAAAAATGTAAAAGGTATGCATTATTTTTGAACAAATAATTCAGTTGTTTAGCTGCTGAGATATTTTCAAAATTATGACCTGAATTTGATGTTGCAAAAAAAAATATTAGCAAATAGTTGTTTTCCTTTTGCTGGTTATTAATTACAATGGCTACCATTAATTAAGACATGCATTCCCAAAGATAAAGGACATCCATATTTCTTAAATCATTTATGCCATCTCATTGTTTCACATTACAAGTTTACTGACTATATTTCCACACTTTTCTTTTACAGAGAGAGGTTCATCAGAGGCTGAGTGGTAAAATCACTAAACAGTGGGAGTTTGACCAGTTTTCAAATCCTGGTAAATGGGCTGCTTGCATGGGAGTTTCATGCAAGTTATGCTGACAAATGCAATAAATAGCAAAAATAATTTCTTTTTTAACTATTACAATACTGTTGGTCATATGCGACAAAAAATAAAATGATGAGGTTGTAAACACTGATGAAGTTGAAATTATAATTGTCATACAGAAATTTAAAGGAAGTTTGCATGTAATTTTTATATACATCAATGCTATAATGCCTACTACTCATTGAAATTCTGTAGTGTCTCAAAGCAACTGCCCAATTTGCCCAGCAATTTTATGCTTGTTCACATATAACAAAGAATATTATGATGGCTTAATTTTTTTTTGTTTTTAATGCATATAATAAAAACTGTGCAGTTAATAAAATTTTATTTACATACATTTAATTTTATACCTTATAGTTCATACAACAGGGAATGTAACAAAGGAAATTACTGCATCTGAATACATGAAAATTATTCCTTCTTAGCATAACAAGTAAGTATGTCTTTTGTTGTTTGTTTCAAGATATTTTGATACATCTAATGACACAAAATTATATTCATTTCATTTAAATTTTTTTCTATTTAGAAATCAAATTTGACCACTTAAAACTGTGAGAATGCTAACAATGAAGGATTAAATCTGTTGGTTTAAAATTCCATCATTTTTTAGCACTCATAATTATAGCTGGGGGGGGAGGATTCCTGAAAAAGTGTCAAGTTTCAAATGACACCCCTCCAGTTCTTCTTTTTTTAGAAGATGACTTTTCAACAAATTTAGAGGTACCAAGACTAAAATTCTGCAGTGATTAGACTTATCGTTAAGAGAGGGGGACCTACACGAATTTTAAATTTGCAATTGCAAATATTTGCATAAGTAAAATTTCTTGAAATTTAGAACCAGGTCAGAAATTATTCCTGACATCAGCTTTAAGAGACAAACAATGAAATCAAGCTAAATAAATTACTTGCACTGCAGCAAAGAATGTAGCGTTACACAATATACAAATAACATATTTTTTTCACTGGCTCTCTGTCATTTAGAGGTGGTGAGAATGGGGAACCTGAATATGCTGATAAATGGTGAGTGTTAATATTAATATGAAACGAAATGAAAACTTTAATATTATTCTAAAAACTAATCTCAACTTCTGTAGTAATGTTTCCAAACCCAAATTTGATCACAACAAAATATTCACATAATATTGGCAAAAGAATGCCATGGCAACTTTTGTAGTTAATAAATGCAAATCCATGTTGTTTCAGCTCTCGTGAATCTACTGATACATACACTACGTCAAAAGTAAAAAAATATAACAAGGGAAAAAATTATTAAGAAAAAAGTAATGTATAAATAAATGTGAAATCTGTTCTAGAGGATTTAATACTACACTGGGTGATCAAATGAAAAGGTACAAAACGACGTAAAAACGTAACAATTAAATATTTGCATATTCCGCCATGGGAGAACGTAGCGAGACATCTCTGGATGTGATTGGAGTCTGACTGGGATCGGAGCACGCACGGGCGGCCGCATGCGCAAGAGAGAGCAGAGGCTCTTATCAAAAGTGGCGTCCAAATCATGCGGCAGTCCGTATGAGGATAGGATGGCGTTCGCGTTGCAAAATTCGACGACTGAGGAGCAGCGAGGTGTTATCCGATTTCTGACAGCGGAAGGTGAGAAACTGGCAGCTATTCATCGCTGGATGGTGATAGTTTACGGGAAGAAATGTGTCTGACACGTCTGTCAGAAAATGGAGTGCCCGTTTTTGTGCAGGCCATGAGAGTGTGGGTGATGACCCGAGACCAGGCCAGGCAAACACTGTCATCACGAGCGATCTCATCGACAAGGTGGACGACCCAGTGAGAAGTGATCGACATGGCACATTGCAAATGTTGGTGGTGAAGGTGGATGTCAGCTATGAAACCGTGTGGACAATTGTTCACGACAGGTTGCGATCAGCAAAAGGAACTGCGTATGGGCTAGCACTGGACACATCTGTTTCGGTATCAGGAAGATCCTGCTTTCATGGAGCGGATCGTCACAGATGATGAGACCTGGTGCCATCACTACGAGCCAGAGACAAAGTGGGACAGCATGCGGTGGAAGCATGCATCGTCACCTCCCCCTAAAAAGTTCAAAGGCGTGCCATCAGCAAGCAAGGTGTTGCTCACCGTCTTTTTCGACGTACAAGATCAGCTACTTGTGGAATTCCTTGAGCACTGAAAAACCATTAACTCCGATGTGTACTGCGAGACACCCTGATGCCTACGCAGGTCCATCAAGAACAAAAGACTGGTGCTGCTCTCGGTGGGTGTGGTTCTGCTCCATGATAACGCGCGCCCACACGTCTCCAGAGTCACATACATGGAACTGACCAATTTCAAGTGGGAGACGTTGGACCATCAGCCCTACAGTCCGGACATGTCGCCCTGCGATTTCCATGTGTTTGGTCCACTGAAGAAACACCTGAAAGGGAAGCGCTTCAACTCGGACGACGTACTCAAGGACGCTGTGAAGGACTGGGTCTCGTTACGGCCACAGGAATTCTGGGAACAAGGAATCCTGTGGCTTGTTCATCAGTGGGATCGTTGTGCTCAGGCCTATGGTGTATATTTTGAATAAAGTCTACATTTGTACCCACCGTGTCGTTTCGCACCTTTTCATTTGATTACCCCTTGTACAGTGATCAAAAAGTCGCATACACCATGCAAAAATATTTTGCTACAAAATTACTAAAATGAATGAAGTTACAAACATGAATTAAAAAAGAGATTTTGAGAAACAAAAATGATAAAACTTTAAAAGTTTTCCTCAAATACAAGCACAAATGCCATTTCTCAAATTGAAGACAATGTATGAATGCTTATTTTTCTCAATTTCACTTTCACCATTTGCTTTGAGTTCATTGACAGTGTGGATCGCTTGCATATATATGTGCTTTTAGGTGACCTAACATTAAGAAATCTGGGAGTGACAAATCAGAGGACCATGGAGGCCAATGTCCTTAACAAATACAAGGAAATCAGTGTGGGGGGTGAGTCTGCAAAATATGACATTGTCTCATTACATGATATGGCAGGTGCTCTATCCGCTGAAACCAGAAAAAGCATTCATTCTCTTCAAGTAGTGCAATAAACTAATAATACACAGCTCTATCAATATAAACTGCTGGCCATTAAAATTGTAACACCAGGAAGAAATGATCTGACGAACCTCAAAATCACATGAAAAGAAAAAGAGGTTGGGATATGCAAATGATTAGTATTCCAGCGCATTTAGACGATGATGGAGGGAGGAAGAAAGCACTTTGTAAGGTAGGGGTTTGCTTAGAATATCGTGTTATGCCTCGTATCAGATGAAGGAATGCTTACCAGCAAGTATCGGAATGCGATAGAGGCAGGATCTTTACCTATTGAAAGTGTGGATTATCATTCCATGAATCGCCGTCGCACTGGTCAACATCCAACCACTGTCATGAAAATATGGAATCAATGGGTTGCTGAGAGTCAGACTGAACGGCATGCAGAATTTCAATGCCCTTCCATGACAAATGTCCGAGAGGACAGACATATTGTGAGGTCAGTCCTGCAAACCCGTACAACCACATCACGGACAATTAGTCAGGAAATGGGCATGTTTTCAGCACACCCAGTATGTGCTCATATGGTGCATCAATGTTTGCAGCAGCGTGGACTATCAGCACAGCAACCATTACTTCGTCTTTCTTTGACAGTGCAGCACAGAGTGAGATGGCGACTCTGGTGTGCCGAATGACAAAGCTGGATACAGGAGTGGTACAATGTCCTTTTTTCAGTTGATTCCCAGTTCTACATGAAGTATTCTGATTGATATATACATATCTGGAGGCTCCAAAGAGATCACACGTTGCCTGCTTACATTCAATATCGGCATAGAGGCCCTGCACCTGGTGTGATGGTTTGGGCAGGCATTGGGTACATGACACACACATCTCTGGTTTGGATTGACGGTAATTTGAATACAGATTGGTACATTTCTGACATCTTATGTCCAGTGGTTGTGCACTATCTTCAAGGCCTGCTGAAGGCCATCTTCCAACAAGATAATGCAAGACCACATG